GCACCGCCTGGCTTGCGACGGGAGGGCAAGGGAGGGAGCGCGCGCGAGCCGCTGGGCCCAGCCTCATTTCCATCCCCTCCTCCCACGCCAGGCCGTGGGGGCGTCAGTACGCATGCGCAGTCGCGGTCCGCGGAGGCTGCTGAGAGGGAGACGGAATGGAAGGAGGGGGTAGGTGCGTAAGACAAGGCAAGCTGGTGAGCAAGCGCAGAGCTACCGGTCGAAGGACCGGAGGAAAGTGTACCGCGGCTTGCGGGGCCTACGGTGGCTGACGGGAGTCAAGCACGTGCAGAAGCTAACACGGGGGAAACTCAGAAACCACTGAAACAGCGCGCAGCGTATGCAGCTTTCCTTTTTCTATGTCCCCTTTCTTTTAGAGAATTCCGTATCCCTAATCAGCTTCAAGAGCCCGCTGCCTATTCTACCCCTCAAGGCGTTGGCTAAAAAAAATGTGTAGCCATTTCTTCGAGAGAGGGCGGGGCGGGACTCTGGGCTGTGAACGAGCTGACGCCCAAAGACAGTCACGTTATTTGCACAGCGCTCGGCACTGTTCGCCATTGGGCGATTCAGGATTCTTAGCCCTCCACCCCCACCCCAATGCTACGGCCCGGCGGCGGGGAGGGCGGCGGTCCCCAGGTGCCCAAGACCTGGTGCCTGGCTAGAGCTCCTGGTACCAGGCCGAGAGTGGCATGCGTGTCACCCTTCCCCTGGGAAGTGACGGTGCACCTTCCCGCCCAGCACAGGAATGACCGTGAAGTGCCTGCAAACCACCCCTCGTGGGTGGGTCTTCAGCCTGATAATTCACAAAGTCCGACAAGCCCTGGGAGCCGTGGGAGTTGTACGGAAAGATTATTTGGGCTCTGGAGCCAGATTGCATGAGTAACTGCTTTGAAATCTTGGCTCTGCCACTTTCCAGCTGTGTGACCTTGGGCAAGTCTTTCTAGGCCTGGGCTTCCTCATTTATAAAATGGAGGGTTGTTAAGATTAAATTCAGTAACCAATAAAAAGTGTTCAGAACAGTGCTTACAGTGCTCAGTAAATGTTATCAGTATTACTTTTTGTTTTTATTGTGCATTGAACTAAGCCATGGCAGGGTCACGGTTGTCCCAGGACACAAGTGCACAGACCCCAAGGTGGGAAGGATTATGCTGTGTTCAGGGCATCTCTCCTATCTGTCACGTCATGCTCCAAACTCACTGATCTTCCTTCTATTTCTTGTACATGCCATGGTCAAGCCTACCTCATGGCCTTTACACTAGCTGTGACTTCTGTCCCCACAAGTTCCTTCTTCATCACTTTGCCTGCCTAACTCCCTGCCTCAGATCTTGGCCCAAACATTAACACTACAGAAGGCCTCCCCTGCCCCACCCCCAGCTCATAGAGTCCCTCCTTTCCTCCATCCTTCTGTTGTCTCATCCCCCTTGTGTGTGCTTAACACTGTATACCTGTCTTCACAGAATGCATGCTCTGTTAAGATGGACAACTTCTCTCTCTTGTTCATCTCCCTGTTCCCAGCATCCATAACAAGGCTGAGCACATAGTAGGTGTCCAAGAAATCTATGTCAAGTGATTACTTGAAAGAATTAATAATCAGGCCCTCTGTGATGGGAAGACAGAATGATGGGGAAAATGTGAACTTGAGGTCACAGAGTTGGAAGTAGGCCTAAACTGGATGTGAAACCCAGGGAGGGTTTTAAACATGGGAAGTGATATGAACTTGTTGAGGTTTGCATATAGTCTTTTTTTTTTTAACCATTTTTTAAGGTTATGGAAAGTTTCAAACATACATGAAAGGAGAGGGAGGGGATGAAAATAACCCCCATATAGCCATCACTTAGGTTCAACATGGCTAGTCTTCCTTCATCATCCCCCAGCACCCTTCCTTGAGCCCCTTAAATTATTCTGAAGTAAATTCCAGACATTTCATCCAGAAACACTTCAGCCTGGGTCTCTAAAAAATAAGGACTCACTTTTTCTTTTTTACACATAACCACAGTATCATTATCACACCCTTCAAAATTTAGACTTGTTTCTTTATGTTATCACATTTCCCCCATGGTCCCATCTGAATCTTTCTTTTCCTTTCCAAGTACCATGTTTTATTTTATTTCAAACCTATAGAAAAAGTCAAGGGAATAATAGAATTGTTCTCTGCCTTAGTACAAGAACTGGCCAACTTCAACTGTTATCCACTCATGACCAAGCTTGTTTCATTTCCCCCACGCACTCCTCTCAGGTGATTTTGAAGCTTTATGCATATGCCATACATTGTATCCTGTAAAAATCTTTTTGTTACACTTAATTCGTTTGAATCAGGATTTAAGCAAGACCCACACTTGAATTTGTTTGCTGTGACTCTTCTGCCTCTTTTTCATTGACATTTTAAAAGGTTCACTCGCTGTTGCATGGAAAATGGAATGTAGGGAGGCAGAGTGGAAGACAGAAGCCAGTGAGGTGGCTGTTACATGTTAATTATAATATTAATTACCAGCATTTATGCAGCACTTATTGTATATCAGAAACTGTCCTGAGTGCTTTGTATATGTTCATTCATTTAATCCTGACAACAGTTTTTCAAGTGGAGGTGCTACTCTTCGTTGCACAGAAGATAAAAATGAGGCGTGCAAAGACTTATCCAAGGTTACACAATCAGGAAGTAGCAGGGCCAGGATTTGAACCCCCGCAAACTAACCCTGGGATTCGTGTAATTTGCATTCATACTTGGCTGCCTCTTTGACTAGGGCAGAGGGTGTGATGATGGAGAAGCAGCCTGATTGGAGAGGTTAACTCAACAGGGCTTAATGATGAATTGGGAGGAAGTAGCAAGAGAAGAAAGGAATAAAGGATGGTGATGAAACAATGATAGCCACCTCCCTGAGAGCAGAATACCCGAGAACTTGTTCTGTGCTGGGTGCTTCCCAAACTCTTTGCATGTGTGATCTCATTGGATATTTTTAAAAATTGAAACATAGTCACTGTACAATGTTGTATATTACAGGTGTACAATCTAGTGATTCACAATTTTTAAAGGTTATACTCCATTAAAAGTTATAAAATATTGGCTATATTCCCCATGTTGTACCATATATCCTCGTAGCTTATTTTATACCTAATAGTTTGTATCTCTTAATCCCCTACCCCTATATTGCTTCCACCTTCTGTCTCCCCACTGGTAATCACCAGTTTGTTCTCTGTACCTGTGAGTCTGTTTCTTTTTTGTTATATTCACTAGTTTGTTTTATTTTTAATTTTTTGGTTTTTTTGGGGGGGGCAATTAGGTTTTTATTTATGTATTCATTTTTTAATGGATATTGAAACCAGGACCTTGTTTATGCTAAGCACACACTCTACCACTGAGCTATTCCCTCCCCACCATTTTATTTTTTATATTCCACATATAAGTGATATCATACGGTATTTGTCTTTCTCTGTCTGACTTATTTCACTTAGCATAATGCCTTCCAAGTCCATCCATGTTGCTGCAAATGGCAATATTTTATTTTTTTATGCCTGTAGTAGTCATCCATTGTATATATGTACCATATCTTTATCCTTTCATCTGTTGATGGACGTTATCTTGGCAATTGTAAACAATGCTGCAATGAACATTGGGGTGCATGTATCTTTTCTTGGATCTTCACAGTGAGAGAGGAGCTATTTTCAGCCGCAAGTTACAGATGAGAAAACAGAAGCCCAGAAGTGGTTAAGTTTTGAGCCTGAGGTCACACAGTTGGGAAGGGTGATGCCAGTTTCTAACTCTTAGAACATCACATAGCTGACCCTAGAAAACCCCCACAGGGTGTGTACACCTTCAAGGGACAAGTAATGGTCTAGCAATCGTGCAAAAATTAATTAGGAATGGGCCCTAGGTGTGAGGAGGTCTTATCTGGGGACTCTCACAGTAAAGAGTG